ACGTCATGCTCAGTACATAAGCTGGGGGGAGTTGGCTGGGGGGCAGCGATTGCTGCTCGGGGACTGGCTGGGCATCAGTCAGAGAGTGGTGAGCAATTGCATTGTGCATCACTTGTTTTGTATATTCTTTTATCATTATCATCATTATTATTATTCTTATCTTCTCTTCTTTTGCTGTCCTATTAAACTGTCTTTATCTCAACCCATGAGTTTTACTTTTCTTTTCCAATTCTCTCCCCCATCCCACCGCAGTGGTGGGGAGGATGAGCAAGCGGCTGTGTGGTGCTTAGTTGCCAACTGGGGTTAAACCACCACATGTGGGAAGGTCAGCAAGGGCAATATTTTCACAGAGATTGCCTTCTGTGAGGAAATATCCAGTGACTGAGCTGAGGAACTTGGAGGTAGTCAGGGGAGAGAAGTGTCCATCAAGGGAAGGGGTCAGGAGATGAGGTGTGAGCCTTTTCTCTCTCATCCCTCCCATGCCATGAGCTGCCACCCTGATCCATAGACAATTCTGGTTGTTGCCCAGAATTATTTTGCCCAAGGCTGCATGGTAATCACCATCTGAACCATGGAGACTCGTTTTTATTCCTTCCCAGTTCAGTTTCCATCAAACAAAGCCCCAGTACTTCTCACAGATGGACTCCTTTCTGAACACGCTCTCCATCAGGCAGGGCAGGAGAAAGCTCATGAACTAGGACCAGCAGCCCCAGGACAGTCCGGGAAAGAGAAAGGCCACATGGCCACCTTACTGAGGCCTACTTCTAAATCCCACTGGGGGAAGACAGCATGTTCCTCCTGCCTAACCTGCACCACAAAAACCTGGTGCTGCACCATAAGCCTCCACACAAGACTCAGGCTCACAACAACCTACAATCATTGTATGCTACAGGACCAACGTATTGAGCTGGAAACGTCATTAAGGCCAGGAGGTGGGAGGTATTTGAGGGGAGGGAGAAGGGCAAAGCTAATTTAAATAAAGTTTAGTGAAGAGCTATGTAGGAAAAGACTCACTGCAGGAATGTAGGACATGAAGAGAGAAGTACTGTATAGGAATGTGCTTACAGCCTGAAGTCAGTCGTCATTTCACCCGGAGGAGGGAGCATGTCTGCCATTCGGATTGGCAGCATGGGTGTGTGCATGTGGTGGGGCTTTGAGTGCACACCATGGACGGTGAGTGCTGGAGAGTGTCCAGCACTAACAGTTACAGCACTGGGTCTGGCTGGCCTTCAAAACCTCTGAGACCCTTTCCTGGCCACAGAAGTATGTTTTGGTGCGAGTTAGTTCTACAGAATTTGATAGAAACACAAATGTAAGGAAAACCAAACCAAACCAAAACCAAACCCAACAAAAAACAAAGCAAAGCCCAATCTGGCTAGAAAGCCAAAGATAAAACACTCACAAGTTCTGGACCTACGAGTCTACATTTTAAAGATTTTACAAATATACAGTATCTAATTAGCATTATATCAGATATACAACATGCCCGTTTATTATAATTATGCTGGATATATAATTTATATGCATGAAATGTAACTGTCTTCATGGTTAGGATTGGTACTCAGTGGAATTGGAATTTGGAAGGTTTTCTTGAGGGGCCATTACATGGAGAGAAACTCACGGAAAATTACCGACCTGTTTTTCGGTAGACAGACACCCTCAGCTTTGTACTTCTGCTAAGGGCTAGAAAAAGATTGCTACATATGGAGCTCTAGGTTGTAACTGAGAGGAGAAAATATGTTCAGAAACAGGGGAACCGGGCCAGTGGAAAATGCTGTCAGGAAAATAAACGTCTGGGGAGAAATCCAGGCTCAGTGAAATGTGCTACATCATGCTAGCCTTGCCTTGCAGGGGTCTCAGTGGAATCAGGACTTCCCCCAGCACAGGTCAGCACTGCGAAGGTGAACGAATTCTGATGCTTTAGGTTCAGCAGTGGCAAGAAGCTGGAGGAAGAGAAACCCTATTCCTCCTTCCTATTTACATGTTGGAGACACCAAGATACTAGAATGAGTGGAGAAAAGGGTCTAACAAGCATTTCAGCATATTTGTGCTTATTGAACACATCAACCCCACTACTTCCTACACTGAGAGAGCAGGCAATTTGTAGGCACTAGTATATTTTTATCTTATGAGTATATTCAATATAAACTAAAACTTTATTTCTCAGCCAGGCTATTCTTGTTCCTAGATCTGCCAGTCCCCTAGGAAAGTCTGCCCTTGAATTCGCTCCAAGGGTGAGGAAGAACAGATGTATGGGTGCTGGCTGATTTTGAGTGGTCTGGAGGTGATCCCCAGCAGCCCGAAGCTTACCTACTTGCCAAAAGGCCAAACATGAGGGCTGGCATGACGACCGAGAACAGGACCCCTTCCCGCCAGGATGGAGTGCTGCCTTTCCTCCTCCCTGTCTTGGGCTGCATGAGACTGCTTCTACTTGTAGCAACTGAAAGGTCCTAAATTCATAAAAACAATGAAATGATGCAGGTGAGCCCTTTGAAGGAGCCAGCTACTACTATGGCTTTCTTTGACAGAAACTGATGCACGTCAGGAAATTTCCTCTATTATCCCTCACTATTGTCTGTTTGCTTGCTTGGGTTCTTCTTATATCACCAACGAAGGGGTGGCTTTAAAAACAACAACGTGGATGGGACTGTCAGAGAAGTCTTTTCAGACACTGAGTTATTAGAGGTTATCTTGGCCTATAAGGCCACTGCAGTACGGGGTGCTGTGGCCACCCCAGTCCTTAATGAGTATCTACAATGCACGAGGTCATATCAAACAGTCACCTCTGTTTTGCTCGCTGTGCGGTAGTGATGGTGGTGTCCTGGAATATAATGCAGTTGTTCTACTGTGTTGTGCCGTCGGGAGGCAAACGCTTGGCGCTTGGCAGAGGTTGGGTTCATACCTAAGGTATTGTACAAGTTATTTGAGGCACTAGGATGGGAGTGCATTTTTGTCATCCTGTAGCGATCCAAGACGGGTGTTGATACAAAGACATCTGTGTGTGACAATGCCCGTGACATAGACTGCTCGGGGTACCCCGACCGCTCCGGGGAGAGCAGGGGGTCTTGGGAGTGGAGGCGCTCTGCGGACAGAAGCTGCTCATCTGAGAGGATCCGTTCATAGGACATGCTAAACTCCTCAGGCATGATCCTCTCAGGAGACAGCACTCTGTCCTGGGACATGGCCCTGATGGGACGGCGAGGCCTGTCCCTGTGGTTGGTCTGTTGAGACATTTTGATGACGTTGATAGGGAGCGTGCCTCGGGCTGCCAGGTCGGGCAGGTGTCTCCTCCTCATGTAGTATTCATCAGCCTCTTTGTCAGCTGTGGGAAAGGAAAGGGAACAGTTAGAAATGTCAGAGCATTGTTCCATGGGGTGAAGAGGGGCTGTGTACAGCACACAGCCTTGGAGCAGCCTCCTAGTGAGACCCGAGGGACCATCTACCAGCAGCTGGACCTGGGCATGGACATTCACGTCAGGGTGCTGCCTGTCAGAGAGATGCCAGCCCTGTGTGGGTTGTGTCACCATGGGCTTATGGTAGACAGAGAGAGTTATAATTGCATGCAGATGGGTATAAGTCCCTATGCAAATGCATCACACCTACTCGCACCATGACACAACAGACTACATATGCTGTCGAGTCCAGACTGTGGTATCGCATGATTTACACGAATGGCAAGTTATGGAGAAATTATCAAATGTCACCTTCACAATACACTTACAAAGAAAGCACAGGGAAGGTGAGCTGAGGCAGGCAAGTTCCCCATTTGAGGAAACCCATACCTCATTTCTGGCCTCAGATGTGGATGTGCTCTGGAATCCGTGAGTGCCCTCATCACATTTTTAATTACTATTTTTGAATATTTGTAAATGTGATCACAAAGCAGGTTTGGTTGGCATGGGATGCTCTCTCTGAGACACTGAATCATCTGCCTAAGGTTTCATTTTCCATTTTTTCAAACACCTTGGTTGCTATCGTAGAATTTATCCCATGGAACATTTCTTTCTCAGTTTGCTGCTTCTGTGTCTTAAATGATCTCTTGGTTGCACAGGAACTCAGCACACATAGACATACCCACCTTCCTCTTTTTGGCTTTCAGACAAGTGCCTTAGACTCAGAGAGGATGTTGGCTGCTGCAGATGTACCCTGATATATCACTTTAATCCTACAGCAGCTGGAATTATCTGATTCAGCCAACTTGTAATTTGAAGAAGCAACACCACAATTATTTCAGATTAAAAAAACCAAACAAACAAAAACCAACAGAAACACAAAAAGTTTCTGGTAAGCCTCTTTGATGTTCATATGCCTTAAACTGGGGTACTGGGATTACTTACCTGGAAGGAGGATTAGCAGCCCTTGGGCTTCAAGCCCAGTGCAGCCTGTGAATTGTCATGATGTACCTGTGGCTGCAGAGGTGTAAAGCACAAAACATCAGTCCCTTACCAGAAGTATACTGTCATAAGTGAAAGAGCACAACGCTGGCCTTCATGGATCAGGGAACAGAGGCATGTTTAATGATCAACACTGATCATCTGTATGAGTCTTCCTCCTCATTTCTTTGTCTGAGATGTTTTCTTGATGTGTCTAAAAGCCCTGGTCCTCATGGGGGACTTCAACCACCCCGACATCTGTGGGAGGGACAACATGGTAGGGCATAAGCAATCCAAGAGGTTCCTGGAATGCGTCTATGATAAATGCCTTCTCCAAGTGGTAGAGGAGCCAACGAGGAGAGGTGCTATGCTAGACCTTTTTCTCACCAACAAGGAGGGGCTGGTGGGGAATGTGAAGCTCAAGGGCAGCCTGGGCTGCAGTGACCACGAAATGGTGGAGTTCAAGATCCTCAGGGCATTGAGGAGGGCACACAGCACGCTCACTACCTTGGACTTCAGGAGAGCAGACTTTGGCCTCTTCAGGGATTTGCTTGGCAGAGTGCCATGGGACAAAGCCCTGGAGGGAAGAGGGGCCCAAGAAAGC